AATGTAGTTTAGAAATCTTTAATGTAATTACTTTTATTACTTAATAAAGTTTCTACTTTGGCATAACAAAAAAAAAATAAAAAATAAAAAAAAATAAATAAATAAATAAAAGAAATCTATAGATACTAAAATAAACAAAAATGACGAATCGTCCAAATATTACAATTCCCATCTTAGCCTTGAAATAATCTAATGAGCTGAGGCTTATATATATTTCGTTGTTCAGTCACGAGCCTAAAATCGTGACAGTAGTTACACTGAACTACAGCTTAGTCCCGAACCAAACTGAATTATGACTGGTTATTGAACTGGTTTGTGGACATTGGTCTGGCTTATGGTTTGCTACCTGGACCAGTCTTTTGAACCAAGACCAGACCGCAACATCCCTAGTTCATTTGTAATAATTTATGCACTATTACATCAGTTTACCGACATCGAAAATTTCAATATTAACAATTATAGTCAGACTTTAAATTTTTAATTGTCACATCGCGTGATGTCAGTATTATATAGTATATGTATTTGTATGTACTGTATTATACATACATATATTTGTTAATATTTTGAATAATTTCTGACTACTATTATTCAACGATAAATATCAATACTAAATGAAATTTTATTAAATAAAATAAAATAAATAATTGAGAATAAAATTTGTAACTATTATGGTTTCCAAAATGGAGTATTAGGATTAACACAGGCAAAATGGCGAGTCAGTCGCTTGACAGATGGATATGTCATGTAACCTACAAATGGCTTAGTCAATAAGAGGTGGTTAGATTGGAGAGTGGTGTGTTTATAATCGTAGGTTTTATAATATATTGTCACGAAAGTAGAAAAGTATTTGGGTCAAAATGTATTGCAAGCATGAAAACTACTGCTCAGGTAGGGCACGAAGCCTTTATTATATACTGTTATATTTACATATGTGCTTCTACAGCTATTAAACATACTAAACTTTTTATTTAATATATATATTCTTAATGTCCTGTATTACTTAAATCCCCATTATATCATATATCCCTTTACTTATAGTTCTTCCTTAAAACCCTTATCACCGCTACTACTCTTATAATTGCTAAAGATTCTATACGACTTTTAAGAGCGATAATCCCAGAAAGCCCATATTAGGTAGGTGATTGACATAGTCATTAGTTATTACTGTGCCACCTCGATCACCTCCTTTTACGTGCTTCTGGGATCACATTTCACGGCTCACAGGATCGCCCAGATCAAATTCTGTATCATGAATAGTGTTATGACCTAAACCGAAACTTTCGGCCAGGCGAAACTTCTGAAACCTCTGAAACCTAGTTTCGCCCAAGGTGCCAAGTCCAAAACATCCGAAACTGGGTAAAACTAGGCGAAAATAGGCGAAAATTGATTTTATCTCTATCAAAATCAATATACATATGATACAGACTTCGATACTGGAGAGTTTACAGACACATACCGATCACATGATATTTCAAATTATGAACATGTACTGATCACGTGATATTAATTTACCAGGACATATATGTCTTTATAGAGACAAACCTAATACAAGTTATTCTTTTTACAGTAAAGTGATCCATTCTACACAAATATTTGTTAAATAGGTAATGGTAAGTTCACAACGATAATATTATAAAAAAAATTTACATCGACCATTTCGAAATTAAATTTGCTATATCAAGATTCAAAAGTTTGTTACCAAAGAGTAACTTGTATTCATATATAATATATCAATACATGAAAAAAAAATTTAATAAAGCAATAGGCATTAAGAATAGCTTTATTTTAATGATAATTTTTGATAAATCTACAATAATATATTATAGATTTTTCTTTTACAAGTATCTACATTTTTTTTCATCTTTATTCTTAAAGTAGGCAATCCTTGAGATGAATAGATTTTTCCATATTTTGCTTTGTTCAGAGCAGGTATCTTCTCAACTAATTGCAATAGGAGAAACAAATGCATTAGGCTTGAGTTTCATCGTTATAAAGTATTATTTTTCAAGAATATAGGCAAAGACTATTGATATATTTTGGTTCAAAGGTGCATTATCAGGCAAAAATTTAATAGAAATATGTTTCTAAAATAATTGACAGGTCATTCAAAAGCATTAGCAATAACATAGCCAAAGGATGACATAGACATCTAGTGATTGCTATCACAGGGGCCTGTTTCCCATTGTGTTACAAATAATACTTGGTTATACTTCTTTTCTCCTTTCAAAAATAGCTGCATATAATGAGATTTTTGGTTACAAAATTCATTATAAATGATTTTTCAAATATCTGGCCAACATTCTTCAGATTTTTCAACTGACACAATAATAGCATGAAAGCCACAATTACCATTTTTACATACATTAAAATAATCTAAGACATATTCTTGCATAAACTTTGGAATATTTGCTTTAAATAGTTTATTACCTAAAATATATAAGTCACTAAATTTTGGTTTTAATGACATGTTTTGTTGCTGAATAGTTTTACTATGATGCTTCAAAATATTATTCAGCTTTTTTTTCTTTTTTGCAGTTTTTTCTTGGTGTTCACTCAGAAGTAATCCTTACTTAGTATCTAGAAGACTACCCTTTGGTCCTTCAATTGGTAATGGCTTAATAGGTTCAGGTAATGGCATGTTCATTACTTGATTAAGTTTAGTAATGAATTCCTTTTTATTAATATTATCCAACAATTGCTGGAATTTTTTCTCTGCTTTGACAAAAATTTCATAAAATTTAGTATTTATAGCAGCAGACTTTGAAGGATGCAGAAGTTCTATAATGTTGAGCCTATCAAGAAGCCATCTATTATTAATAGCCAAAAGGGGAATTGGCACATTTTTTGGTATTATATGTTTGCAAGACAATTTATAATTAATTTTAGTTGAGTACTCACAAGTTTCGGCATTTTCATGCATATCTGGTTCTTTTGTCATTGATTGTAATGTTTTTTTGATATTATCAATTACCTACATTGATACATAACCGATAAGTTCATAAAATTAAGAATTACGAAAGGTAAATAGATCAATTACCACTTTGTTGGAACCTTGACGCATTGATGCTTTCAAATTCTGTATAAACATTGTTTGATCAATTTGATAAAACACACCTTCTAAATCACTAGCCATTTCGATTACTCATTTGAATATATAATGAGAAGACTCAGCTCTCCCATTAGTTGAAGTTCCCATATGACAATAATATTTTGTATAGGCCAAGATCCACATTTTTGAATTTTTTATCCATGTCTAAATATATGATATGGCCTTTTTAGGATCATGAGCTTTTTCAGCAGCTTTCTTTACTGCATTTAATAACTGGAATTTTTTCTTCATCTGATGTAAAATGAAAAGCTTCAACTTCTTTTTTAAATGTTTCATAATTATTTCTATTTTCAAAAAGTTTATATCAATTAGTTTTTAAGTTCTGTTCTAAAAGGTGCCAAATACATAGCATCTTGTTTGATTGTTGAAATACTTTAAATGTAGTATTTTGTAATGCCTGATCTCTATTGAATATGAAAATATCTGGCAGACAATTATATGTATCATAAATATTAGAACTAAGTGTCTGCAAAAACCATGTATATAATACTTCAGTTTCGTCTTTTATCCAAGACATTGCAATCTGGTAAGATGCCAACACAACTTTCTTATTGCAAATATTATTAATGCCAATTGTACTAACAAGAGGATATTTGTAAATGTTGGTTTTGTAGATAGCATCTACAATAAGAACTTCAGGACATTTGGCAACACATTTTGCTAATTTAGTATGAAAAAAAAGAGTTAAATAACCCTTTACTGCTTTTAAAGGTATAACTATATAGTTGTGTTCTTCAAAGAGCCTTAGAAGTTTTCATATAAAATCATCATTGGGACCATCATTTAATGCAAATCTTATACAGGCATGTTCATTTATGATATCTTTTGGATGAATTATTCTATCACCAACATCCTTGTTTGCAGCAGCTATTATAATACATGTAGGTGTGTTACTATCATGTAATTGTATAATAAGGCACTTTTGGGTCAAATTTATGGTATGATGCTGAGAAAGAGTTGCAACTTCATCTAATTCAAGTAAAGGATGATTATGCTCAAGTACAACCTTTGTAACATTTCACACTGTCTCAACATTTATGGCATCTGTAGTCAAATAGCATTTTACTACAACAGCTCTAATATACATAGGACAACCATCACATTTAGTTTTTTTTTTCATGTTTCTTTAGTTATATTCCAGTTGTTGCACCATTCTCCACCTTTGTTACATTGCAAACTGATGAAAGGTGATTTACCTTCGTGTCTAGTAAGGTTACTGTCTTTTCTTGAGAAAGCAAATCTGTTAACTTTAGCAGCTAAGTTAGCTGCACTTTCAAGTGCTTCTAAAGATTTGAATTCATCATTTACTTTGGGCATAGTGGGCTCTATTATTGTTAATATATATGGGTTATTGATTAAAAAATTTTATTTAAGATTGGAGAAACTTTGCATTTTATTTTTAGGTAAGTTATTCGTGTTTAGGTAAATCATATATAATATGAATTCTATATATAATTTTATGTGAACATTTATAATACCACTATATGAAATAGCCAAAGTAATTTATTAACAAACAGTGAGTATGTTTTATTCAATGGAAAAAAAAGAATGGATCAAGCAATAGGTAAAAATTTTTTTTGATTTTTAAATTCTTGTGAAGTTTAAAATAATAGATATTTTATTACATCATATATACATGATTTACATATATTGAGTCATAGATATAAGAAGATCAATTATTTAATATATAAAAATATTTCTTTTTAATATTTAATTCTCATTAGGTGCTTAGAATTAATTAATCTTTTCATTTTATAAAAAATTCGTTAATGATAAATGAAGGCTAATACACAGACCCTGGCTTTTTTTTTTATGATGATATCATTTTGTAAAGAGTACAACAGGGAAAAAGGCATTATGTTTTATGAAAATATTGTCAATCACAATATTTTTATAATAAATTATATATTAAAACTGAAAATTGTTACCATTTTATCCAATAAGTTATTTTTATTTGTTGTGTCAACATGTTTTATTGTACACAGCTTGGACTGATTGATATGGATAATTAAAGTAAGTCTTTGATAATTTATTATGAGAAATGCACTTTGGTTACTTCGTTAATATCACATAATCGGTACATGTTCATAATTTGAAATATCATGTGATCAGTACATGTTCTTAGACTCTCTGCTTTGATACGACGATTTCTAAAAGTCATGTGAGCATTGCACTTAAAATTGACCAATTGAATTTTTAGAAATTCCATTGGTCAATTTTAAGTGCAGCCTCACATGACTTTTAAAAATCATTGTATCGAAGTCTGTGTCATGTATATGTTGATTTTGATAGAAATAAGATCAATTTTTACCTAGTTTCACCTAGTTTCACTCAGTTTCAGACATTTCACATAGTTTCAGACATTTCGGATTTTGGGTGAAACTAAAACTCAAAATCTGAAACATTTCGGACTTCAGTAAAGGTTTAGGCCGTAATACTAATCGCGAACTATAAATTAATCAAAGCTCAAAAAATCAAACCTATGTTTATATAACAACAATAACCATCTGTCAATAATGCATCAAAAATACGAATAGTAATTACTGACCCTGTCAGAATCTTTTCTGCTATGATTTAAGTTTGCCCACATAAGTATATATTAAGTAACTATAAATAATCCCCAAAGGGCATAAAGAACCACAAAGACTATTATTGCGTGCTTTGCAGCATTTCAAAATGGATTAAAAATAAGTATCGAGATTATGCTTGTATATGCGAGTAATGATAATATGATAATACTGAAATCTAGAAGTATTGGTGCATCATAAGTGACTCTCTTATCAATTTTGCCTCATATCAAGACCCTTTTTAATCATTATAACCAATGTAGAATAGTAAAAAATCCAATAATCCCTTTTATTAATCGAAGACATTGATGATATTTTCGAATTTCTTAATTTCATGAAAAGCAATTTTCAATATTTCTTTTGGGTTTTCCACATTATTCGAATCAAGTTTATTCATAATGATTTAATAATAGTAGAATCCTTATTAGCAATATTATAGACAGTTTCATCCTATTGTGTCATAAAACCACTTAGCACTAATAAAATTACAAAAGGGGAACTAACATATAAATGTTTGGATACACGTAATTAGGAGGTACCTGACAATGATCAGAGGTACAACATACAGGGGTTATATTGATATGAAAGGATTGACATCATAATTGGTAATAAGGTTATGCAAGGTGAAGTATAATGACATTAGACTATAAGGTTATATAGAGCAATTTGTAGTGTATTAGTAATATAGTTTGTATGACAAATGATGTAGCTGCACATGATTTTAAATAAATAAGAGGTTCGATCTTGAAATTGAACCTCCACTTCTAATTTTCTTGAATAATAACCTGACCCAAAGCAATAGCTTCATTATACTCATTGTGTTGGCTGGTAGAAGGACATAGCCTATTAGGAGGAGACAGGTAGTAAGAAAGAGGGAAGCCAGTTAGTAATTAAGTGAGTCAAAGCAATTGTAAACGTTTGAGCCAAGATGTTGTTTGTCACGTAAAACCATGGACATTCATTAACTCCACGACATGGAAGGACCTGGGAAACAAGCCATCATCTCTTACAACAAACATAACCAGTATAGTTATAATATATAAAATAGTCAGTAAAGGACATGATACAAAAGAAAAGAAGTTTTGTTAGTAACATAAAAGGAATAAAAGGAGTAATAACACAGATAAAAGAAAATACTTGTCTAGATCAATACTTTGTTCACACCAGAGATAAAAGCAGAGAAGCAGCATGTTTAACAAACCAAATAAGGTTGTACGAAGATAATTGACAAGACTTAGCTATTGTAGATGTAAGTAACAAGTAAGGACAGTCAAGTAAAACAAGTGGTATAAGTGAAGGAACATTAATAATAATATAAAAAAAAAAAAAAAAAAATATATATATATATATATATATAAATATAAAACCATGATGATGAGCAGTAAAGATCAAACTGTATCTGTATACCATGGTGCTGAAGTCAATGACATAGGAACTTTCTTTTTGATTTTGAAGGGTATAGTAAGACCAAGAAGTATGATTAGGACACCCTATGTTCAATAGTGCACCTGCATATGCCGGAAAGTATGAGAACGTGGGTTTGGGATCTAATACAAACCAAGAAAACTTGGCAAAACCTGAAGAAGCTAATTATTAAGAAGATAAAGGCCGAAAATGAAACTGAAGTAAGGATTAATCAATTGAAACATCTTAAATAAGAGGAAAGAGAATCAATAAGAGAATACACTAATCAGTACGAAGCCTATGCTCAAACTGTAAAAGACCAACTCAGAAGTGATGAGAAACATGACTGATATATTCGTGGTATAAAGAAACTATATAGATCTAAGGTTGAAAGTCACTGCCCTAAAAATTATAAAAAAGCCAAAAAGAAGGCATTAGAGATGGAGGATTATAATAGAGACAAAGCTCTCAATGAACATAAAGCATCAAACATACCTGAAAAAACTCCACCATTGAGTAAGTCAGATGTGGACCTTGACACCATCGTGAATAGACTTGCAGCACTGAGCATTAACCATGTGGAATGAGAGGAGAAGTTGAATCAATCTGATATTGAAAATATGATTCAAAATGTGGTAGCAAAAACTGTAAAAAACCTCAATTGAAAGCAAAGTCATCAGAAACCTAACAAGCCTTGTACATGCTACTTGTGTGAACAAGAGGGCCACATCATGAAGAATTCCTTAAATCAAAATAAAAGTGAAAGTCAAACTGATAAGGGCATAACGTTCAATAATGCTGATGTACATCTAGTTGAATTCACTGAAAAAGGCTCTACAAATAGTAGTGAATATTTAAAGGTTGAATTGTTGGATATGAACAAATGTTGTGATGTAAGAGTATTTGGCAAAAGAAAGAGAAATGATAATGCTACTGAAACGATTAAATCATCTGAAAAAAGAGGAAAAGTTGATGTGCGTAAGCAGGAAAATCAAAAAATAAAACCATATGAAAATGTGATGTATATACTATTTGCTGAACTATCTGATGAACTTGATCTGTTAAAAAGGGTGTCTGGTATAGAAATCTTCCTTACACTCTGACAATTATTCAAGTGGTTACCCAAAGCACGCTTGGAAATAATGAGGGCCCTAACTCAACACAAAAGAGATAGTACTACTGACCAAAATGTGAAAATTAGGATCGTACAAGGTGTCTTGCATGACAATAAGTCTAAGTCTAGTGAAGTAGTGCTGGTGTGGCCTGTCAAAGTCAATAGAGAAGTAGTAAAAGCCCTGATCGATCCCAGTTCCTGTATAAACCTAATATTGAAAAGATATGCTGTGAAAAGAGGGTTGAAATGGAACCAAGCCCGTGGTAGAGGCTGAATGGCTAATGATAGGGTCAGTCAGTTTGTGGGTTATATTCCTGATGTAGAAGTCGATATGGAAGGTGTTGTAGTGCATCAAGGATTCTACGTGATAGACACAGCCAGTTTTGATGTTTTGTTAGGTATGCTATAGAATGCAAGAGCACAGTGCACCTTGGGTTTTAAAGGAACTAAATACTGGTGCACCATTTCTTCTCCTATGAGATCCGCTTCTTTTGTGGTATCAACAGTGCCCAGGAGTTGGATAGATGAAATTCCAGCAAGTGATTATGATGATAGTATGGATAGTAATGATGAAAGTAACTATAAAGAGGATGTTGACGATATAATAGTGGTATGAAGAATGGACCTGGTCGAATTTAAAGAATTAAATGAAGACAATCTAGCCCAAACCATTTTGGATAAGGCAAAAAATAAGGATAATGTAGTGCAACGACAAGTTAAACCTGTCGATTATGAGTGCCTATGCGATTTGGCATTTGGAGGTTGGATAAACTATTGGCATATCAACGATGAAAGGGAAAATGGTTCAATTGAAGGAAAGAATGCTTTTGTTGTGTTGAGATTAACAATAAAAAATAATAATTTAATAAACCTAGGACCTATGGTACGAGATGAACCAATAAGGACTATAGTGATAAAGCAGTTAATGAAGAAAGTGTCTGATGTTTTTGCTTATGAATTAAAAGACATTGGTAAAACAAACCTGGTGGAATATGAGGTTAGAACTGGAGATGCTATCATGCTGTCTGTGCAACTGCGACCGATTAGAATAAACAATCCTGAGACAAGAAGAATGTTCGAAGACCATCTAAAGAAAATAATCGAATGTGGTCTATTGGAAAAAAGGTCAGAGGAGTATGCTTATCATTGTTTTCCTGTGCAAAAAAAAGAAGGAAGAACTGACAAATTAAGAGCAGTTGGTAATATGAAACCCCTTAACAAGTATATAATTAAAGATAGTTACTCTCTGCCAATAATTCGTGATATTTTGGAGCAAGCTGCTAGTCATGATTGGTATTCATCAGTTGACATGTTCAAAGGGTACTGGCAAATAGGAATCCGAGAAAAAGACTGTGATAAAGTCATTATAGCCACCCCTCTTGGAGTACTTCAATACACAGTTATGTGCATGGGCCTAAAGAATGTGAGTGAAACCTTTCAAAAGATTAATGGATCAACTGTTGAAAAGTGAACGATAGAGGAATGTAGCTGCTGCATATCAAGATGATGTGGGTATATAGACAAATGGAAGCATAGAAGAACATTTAGACACATTTATCGAGTTGGCTGAGGTTTTTAAAAAGGTGTGATTAACTTTTGCTGCGAAAAAGTGGTTTGTAATGTATAATGAGCTCGAAATGTATGGACATGTAGTGAGTAAAGAGGGAATTAAGGTGAACCCAAAAAGGGTAAAAAAGATTCAAGATTAGAAAGTGCTCTGTAATGTTAATGAGGTAAGGTCATTCCATAGTGTGTTAAATTACTATTGACAGTTTATTGAAAATTTCGTTAAAATTGCAAAACTTCTGACTAACCTGACCAAACATGATGCTAAGTTCCATTGGGGACCTGAAGAAAATAAGGCATTTGAGTTGCTCAAGCAAAAATTAAGCAAAGATGTCATATTGAAGGCACCTGATTGGCAAGCCGCCAAGGATGGTCGAACGTTGTATCATATGTATACTGATGCTAGTGATTGTGCGGTGGATGTGGTTCTTGAGCAGGAAGATGATGAAGGACAATTGAGGCCTGTCTCATTTGATTCAAGAAAGTTGAATAAACATGAACTGCATTATACAGTAACTGAAAAGGAGTGCTTAGTGATAGTATTTGGCTGTCATGTGAATGAGCAATATGTAGGTAGAACCATATTTGAAGTATGGGTGGATCATCAGGCTTTAGAGTGATTGTTCAATAAGATGAAGCTAAAAGATAGACTAATAAGATGGGTGTTACTGTTGCAATCATTTGAGTTTCAGGTTCAGTATAAGTCTGAAAAGAAACACTGTAATGCTGATGGACTGTCATGTTATATTGACCCACTTATCCAGAATAATCTGACTGATGATGACTTTGTTAAAGGGCAATTGTATAAAATAGGGTATGAAAATCATAAAATTAATGACTTGTGTTTGATAAAGCATTACCTGCAACAAATGAGTTGGAGGCTATATGAGAAAGCATATGACTTACCTTGCCTGAAAAGAAAGTTAAAACGATACTGCTTAATCGGTGATAACCTGTACTTATGTTCGAAGAAAGTGCACCTCCAAAACGTGTGGTCTTGAATGACCAGGATAAACTTGAGATTGTGAAGGCTTGTCACGAAGGGATGGCAAACAAAGGTGGACATAGAGGTGTCAATAGAATGTTGATGTTAGTAAAAATGAAGTATGCGTGGGGATCGGGAAATATGTATAAGGACATTAAGAGGATAGTATCAAGTTGTGGACCATGTCAAAGGTGTGCACCAAAATTGCCACCAGAACCAGTACATGTATCAGTGACAAGTTGGATTTTTGAAAAAGTGTATGTCGACTGTGTAGGGCCTTTGCCCCGAACCATGGCAAAACATGAACATGTGGTGTTGGCAATCGAGAACTTGACTGGTTATGTTGAAGGAAGTGTGTTAATTAAAAAGAATGCTAAAAATATTGCCCAATTCATCTGGGAGGACATAATTTTGTGACATGGATGCTTTACTGCTCTGGTATCAGATAGAGGGATGGAGTTTAGGAATGGGATAATGGAGGAACTATTATCTCAGCTGAATGTAGATCAATGTTTTGTTGTGAGCTACTATCTGGAAGCAAATGGTCATGCTGAATGTGTAATACAGACCTTCATCAGGATCATTCAAAAACTGTGTGCAGAATAACAAAATTGGTGGCATGAGTATGTACGTAGTGCCATTTGGACCATCAATACAACTGTGGGTGACTTGGGTTATTCACCTTTTCATTTGGTATATAGAAGGGATGCAATAATGCTGATTGAGTTAGTAATGGAAAGTTATCATATGTATATTTCGAGAAGCTAATGGATGACAGATGAATTACTTAAATACCGAGCCTTGCAAATAAAAGAATTGTCAAATGAACTGGATAAGACACAAACAAGCCATGATGAATTGAAGTGGCATTGAAAGGAGTTCCACGATCATTGGGCTCATAAAAGGGAACCAATTAAGGTCAGTAACTTGGTCTTGGTCTATGATTTGACCCTGGAGATCTGCTCTCAAAAATTGGATTACCAATGGATCAGCCCCTATAAAGTGACAAAAATTGGAAAGCATGGTCAGTTCTACATTAAAGAAGTTGATGGAACTAAGCTGAGGGACCTGATAACCAGAAATTGAGTTAAGAAGTTGAAGGTGAATGCGAATGAGCCTGAGTCTGCAGGTAAGAGGAACAAGGATAGAGAAGGGTAATGAATAAGGAACAAACAGATGAAGGAGAGTATATTTCTTCAGAAGATTATCTGTCAGATTTTCTGGAAGATTAAAAAAAAAAAAAATTTGATAATCATAATAATGATATATAGATATAAGCAATAGAAATATATGTGTGTAAGTAGTGCATAATAGATGAATTCAGTGTTGTTACATGAGGGTTGGTAAGCATAATACATTCAAAATATTGGAAATTGGGTTACATGGGTCAAACTTCGGGATGAAGTCTTGGAGGGTCTAGCTTATGACATATAAAGTTTTGGATATACGTAATTAGGAGGTGCCCAACAATGATCAGAGGTACAATGTATAGGGGTCATATTGAATATAGAAGGATCAACATCATAATTGGTAATAAGGTTATGCAAGGTGAAGTATAATGGCATTAGACTATAAGGCTATATAGAGCAATTTGTAGTGTATTAATAATATAGTTTGTATGACAGATGATGTAGGTGCATATGATTTTAAATAAATAAGAGGTTCGATCTTGAAATCGAACCTCCACTTCTGATTTTCTTAAATAATAACCTGAACCAAAGCGATAGCTTCATTATACCCATTGTGTCGGCTGGTAGAAGGACGTAGCCTATTAGAAGGAGATAGGTGGTAAGAAAGAGAGAAGCCAGTTAGTAATTAAGCAAATCAAAGCAATTGTAAATGTTTGAGCCAAGATGTTGTTTGTCACATAAAACCACAGACATTCATTAACCCTGCGACAGGAACAAATAGTGTAATTTATGACAAAAAATATTTCTGTTTACAGTAATGTCAACTATATATCTATCATCAACCCAAATATAAGCAACAATTAAAAATATTGATTCTTTGCTAAAAATGTCCATCTTTGTATAAAATCTCAATAAAATTTTACAGAAAACAATTTCTTTTCTAATGTATTAAATCTATTCAAATAAACTCCCATTCACGTGAGTGCACAAATTTAGAATATAGTAAACTATATAGCAAATTTAATGAACCTACTATGTATAAAATTATTTGTCAAATGTATTTCAGATCATTAATATATTTGATTTGTGTTTATTTGCCAATTGGTTAATCTCTTTTTCGTAGAAGTGCATAATTTCTTCAAATTTCTATTATTCAGTAAATTGTGCATGTAATATGGGTGTTATTGTCTATAATGCAAACAAATTTCATAACTAGCATAGCATTTGGAAGGGGTTTTTCGCCAATTTTTAGAGTTATATCAAGTAAGTTAGTCTTTTTATTTGCTTATTATATCTATTCAAGTTATTATAAATGTATTATAACTGATTGTCTTTTTTGTTTTATATTATTAATCTAAATTCTTATTAAGATTTTTGATCATTATGTATTATGGGATTATGATTTGTAATTGAAATTTTGATATAAGGGGAATTTTATTATTATTGAAGGATTAGTCATGTAACATCGACAGTTCCTCCACTATAAATCGTGGGGCATTCCAACAGGAGGAACTGTTGATGTTACATAACTGATCCTTCACCTAGTGTGCAATATATAAAAAAAATTATTTGCTCTGCTAGTACATGTTATGATTATAATCCACACCTTTTTATTATAAAAATTGTGTGAAATTAAAATCATAAAATGTACTAGCAGAATGATCTAATATTGTAAAATAATTTATTTATATGTTGCACACTGGGTAAAGAACCAGTCTTGTAACATCAACAGTTTCTCTTGTTGGGCATTTCTTATTCATAGGCAGAAGTTTGTCTGGTTGGCTAATAAATTTAATTTAGGTTTACAGTATTTATAAAATAAAAACTATTTATAATAAAATAAAAAAAACTAGATAGAAGGTTTCATTAGAGCTGTAGGACTTCATAATTAAAAATAAGATCTAATAATTCTCGTCTGTTTAAAAAAGTTAGTATAGTAATAACTTCTCAAAATCTGATAAAATCAACTTATTACCAATCTAATTTTTTTAAATGGTTGATAATTAGATCTTACAGAGTTCTACAGCTCTAATGAAATTAGTGATGAGCAAATCACAGTTTTTTAAAAATTCTGCACAGAATTCGCAGAATATAGTAAAGTTTTTTGATTTATCATGAAATATAAAAACATATATAAAGATAATCAGTATAAATATAATTTCTTGTTAAAATTATATATTTTAAATACATTTAGCAATTCAAAATAGTGCCAAATCAATTTATTAACACCCATGCTATAATAATGTTATTTGAAGAATAACTTAATAATGGTTATCTTTATTATAATAAGGAATAGTAAGTAAGAACTACCAACAGCAAAAAAATTTATGCATATATATATAATAATAAATAAATAAAAGTTCTACATAGAAATGCAGACCAGGGCAAAAGAGCCACCCAAAAAAGTTCAGAATATCGTGACAAATATATCGAGCACTAAAAATTTATGTAAAAATCATTTTTCACCAATTAAACCTTAGATAATAAAATATATGTTTATTGAGTTATTCGAAATAAATAAAATGATTAATTTATTACTTATTATCTAAATTTTTTTGTTTGTTAAATATATGAATTTTTAGTGCTCAATATATATTTATGTGATGTTTGAAACTTTTTTGGGTAGCGATTTTACTACCATCTTAGAAATTGGCTCATCAATGTTAATACAGGCCGAATGATATTTAATGCAGGCCAGATGATATGCTAATGCAGGCCAAATGATCTCATATTAAAAATTCCACACGTGATCCAAAAAAAAAAAACCATATGTGGCTCATCACTAAATGAAAACCTTCTATATAGATTTTTTTTTTACTTTATTATGATAGGTTTTATTTTTTAAAAAAAAGTACTCTAAAACATATAAATAATGTAAAATTAAATTGAAATTATTAGCCAATCAGACGATAAGCTAGCTAATTCAATTTTGATTATATAATCAATTTATATTATTGCTATTAATTTTTAATTCTGATCAATTATCTAATTTTAATATAGTGCAAAACACTTAAAATCAAAAAATATTCATTACTATAAATAATATAGTTATAGGCAATTATTTTTGCAAATATGTAAAAAAAATAAAAAAAATAATATTATAGAACCATTTGTTGGATTATTAAGAATTGCAATATTTGAATCTTTTCAAAGATAAACTCATTAAAGTATATAAATACATATTTGAGTTTTGAGCACTTCACTGTATAAATCAAAAAAATTTACATTCTTGATTAGTCATTAATAATTGAAACTCTGCAATATATTTAATCACAGTTTAGTCAAAATACTGAACTTAAGTGCCTTGCACTGTAAAATTTTATTGTAAATCTTTGTAAACAGTATTATATTTCATACAATACACAATAACTTATAATCAATATACATAATAATTGATTCAATTCTGTTATTAAAAACTTTAGTTTTATATTTAGTTATCATGTACAGAATGACATAGATCAAGGAGAAATAATTATATCACTCTTTTGATACATATATTTTTTTTTTTTTTTTTTTAAGGTAATCTCTTTGGTCTTTTGACTTTTATTAATCACTTGTCGGTATTGTGGTTCAATGAACCACTACAGGAGAGTGTACAATT